GAAGAACAAAAACGCGAAAATAGGCTGAAGAACATATATTCTGTTCTTCAGTTTTCAAAGAACACATTCGTGTTCTTCACCATGTTCTCCAAAGAACGGAAGAACACAGATTTCTAACAGTGTAGGAACTTGTTGCATATTGGACTCTCTATCTTTTATCCAAATAAACTTATAATTTGATAAATATACAACAACTCAATAGACAAAATATCTGTCAAACAATTTTCTAATCTTCTTTTTATGATAATACATTATGATTTTTGGATTAATAATCTGTAAGGATTATTGAAAATGCTTCTTCATGCATTATCCTAAGTGAACAATTCATGGTGTGTTATGATGCGTTTGAAAATTTAACTCACTCACAAACGTTGAAAATAGTAATGCGTTATAATTGCATGAATCCTACACTCAAGTGTCGAAAGATGTCAAAAATAGAATTTCAGTAGATTTTTATTATGCAGTCATCAGCGTTATTTAATACATTAAAATGTATCATAGATGATAAAGGTAAAAAGGTAATAATATTCATTATGAGTTAAAAATAGACGAAATAAAAAGTGTCTTTCAGCTACTACCCATGCAAAAACAATCCAATTTTTTGGGTCATTTATCTGGATTCAACTCCGTGTACATCTAGATGCAAGTGCACCTGAATCCAGATAAATAACCTAAAAAATTCCGTCGTTTTTGCATGAATAGTACTGTAGAATTATTGATGAATTACAATTCAGCTAACAAAGAATTTGAACTACTGTTTTTGAAGAAAATATTGAAAAAAGTTAGAGTGTCGAACGAAAAATAGAAGACTTTCAAGTACATAAAAAGATAACATAATCCATTTTATCTTCTGAATCTACATATTCTGTTTTGATCCTATGAATTTGGTGCTGTTTTTTTTTAAGTATCTCATTTTCTCAAAGCTTAGTTGCTGAAAAGGTTCTACGAAAGGATTTATTTTTAGTGTACACTTAATTTCCAACATCACTCTAATGTATTTAGATTGAATATGACTCATTTAACAAAAATATGATGGATTCAACAGTGTTAACCATTCATTTGTAGTTAATAACGTGTCCAAAAATATATTTTCAACGGTGAGAAACAGAAATTTTAAATTCTGAAATTTTTTAAATTTTCTATTTAAAATGGCAAATGAAGCTGAGCAATTAAGAGGTTTTCTTGTCAATTTTGAATTTTGCGATAACCGGTTGTCATTTACTTGAGATGACATAGTGATTGCATTAAACTAATTATTGATTGACATTCTTGTGTTTTTATTTTTTATGTTAAATATGACACAGTTATGTGAAAATCAAAAAAAAGCAGATAAATAAGAATTAAATTAGATTGCAATTGCGCTACGCACGAGTTGCGATGCCGACAGACTATATTTATCTCAAGCGCTCCGGAAAAGTTCATAGTTCTCTAGATCACGGAGTGCACCTTTTTGCCTAAAAGGAGACGAAAGAAAGAAAGAAGAAAATAAAAAACAAAGTTTCTCACAAAATAACCATAATATCTGTCCATTACTAAATTACTACAATTAACTCGTAGAAATAAAATTGTAACAAAATCATACTTTCGACAGGAAGTGCAGTTTGTTCACTACGTGTTTTTTTATTATCTTACTGATAAAGATAACAGAATACGAAAATTGAAAAATATGTATGATTTATTGTATTTTAATATCGATGTTTGATGATCATAAAGGACTAGTGAAAAATTAGTGTTTGTATAATGAATGTTACAACATTTCCATCACAAGACTTTTATTATCATTTTGAATTAATTCAGACAATTTCAATAATTTTTTCACCACTCATTCTAACATTATGTGCTGTAGGTAATTTTTTATCATATCTCGTTTTAATAAGTCGTCATTTACGTAAACAACCAACGGCATGTTATTTAGCTGTTCTATGTGTGATTGAAATTGGAACATGTTTTACTGGTCTTCTACGACAGTTTTTAATTGATGCATTTAAAATTGATATAAGAACAATGGAACATCTGACAATAAATCCATATTTTCGTACAATATTTTGTCGTACTCATATTTATCTTACGTATGTATTTCTTCGTCTATCTCCAATTATTGTTGTTGTTGTAACAATTCAACGTTATTTATATGTGTCAAAAAAATTTCCTTGTATGCAGCAAAAAATATGTTTTCAAATATTTTTTATTATTATATGCGTTTGTGCATGTGAATCTCATTTTTTAGTTTATTATGAATATACACTATCGGACACTCGTCCGAAATACGAACAAAAAATGGAATGTACAGTGAATAAAGAAAATTATCCTAAATATTATCAATTTCGTAGTCAATATTATGGTAAAATATCTCTAGGTTTATTTACATTGTTACCACTTATTCTAATGATTATATTCAATGGATTAATAATACAAACAATTCATCGATCAGCAAAACGTAGTAAACAAAAAAATGCATCAAAAAAACGAATTATTACACGTATGCTGTTAACTGTTAGTCTATTTTTTACCATTTTAACATCACCAGCTAGCATTTATATTGCTCTTGCATCACCCACCTATCAGTTATCACGCTATTATTTTCTACAATGGACACTATTAAGATTACTTTTTTATTTATGTCATTCTGTGAACTTTCTATTATACTGTGTTAGTGGTTCAATATTTCGTCAAGAGTTTTTGGCAATTATATTGTGTCAATCATCATCATCGCACCAAAAACGACGTCAAATTAGACAAGGCCAATAGAAGAAAAAACTGATCAACTGGTTTGTCTATTAATAGACCGGTTAACTGAGTGTTTTTTTATCGTTTCGATAAACATGCGTTAGGAGGCCACTATGGGAACGTATTGAATTGCATGTGGTGGTTGGTGTTAATGCTCGCATATCACCGGATCGAATAAAATTTCAAAAGCTTGTTCGGTCGAAACCGATAGCAGATTCGTCTCCTCCATGGTTGATTATGTGTTACGCAATAACTTTTGGATCGGGGTACTTTAGAAAAAACTTTTCCCATGGTCTTGCTCGAAAATTTTTCAAAATATTACCGTATGGGCAAAACGATGTCGAAAGTTTTTTCTAAAGTACCCCGATCCAGAAGTTATCGCGTACCACATAATCAACCATGGAGAAGACGAATCTGCAATCGGTTTTGACCGAACAAGCTTTTAAAATTTTTCGATCCGGTGATATGTAC